AAATGCAAGGCTTTTGTCAATGAGTTTTCCCAGTTTGACCCTTTAAATGGGTTTGCAGCATGTTTTCTCTTTTCATTTGAGCTTTTCTGTATTTAGAATTTGATGAATTGTGTAATCAAAGAACTGCCATTGTAATTCAATGGAGTGTATATAGAGGGTGTAATTAAAACAAGCTGCCTCGGGCATCACAAATTCATCTCACCTGCAGAAAAAAATATGACAGAATGAAGCTTATGAGCCCATCACAGCTGCTCCAGTTACGACAGAGTGCGATCAATATTTGAGAAGAGCACGGCAGTGACATCTGAAAGTATATTCCCAAAACCCTCACCATATTAAACGAACAACAAAACAGCCACAACATCCTTATAATTGTGGCGGAAGACTATTACAGTAGCAGCTGTTTGGATCGATCGACTGGCAATGTGTTTATAATGGATGAGCGAGTCAGGAGCCGTTTGACAGATAAGCCCGGCAGGTACCGACGGTTTAATTTAACATGGAGAAATGGTGGTATCAAATAGATTTTGTTGCATGGCATGATGGGATTTCTGCTCTTTTGACCCCCTCAGTGATCTTTCCAGGGCTCTTTGCGCTGACTAGAAGTGTTTGAAGAAGATAAATACCAGGGACTGACCTCTCGCCCCACAATCTCTTAACGAGGAATGGTTTCTGTAATGCTGCAGATAATATAATGATTTTTAGCACATAGATCAAAGGAGGTGATACTTGAAGTGTGCAGACACCACTGGAGGATGGGTGCTAGTGTCTATCTCTGTCTGACTCATTCACTCATGCACTACCTGTATAGTGGATGGCACAAAGATTGAGATATGAGTGTAACACCGTTCGTAGTCACGGGAAGGAGGAGGCGGGAACCGGCGAATGTTCAAAGAAAACTTTAATAATAAAGTAAACACAAAATAGCGTGAGGGAGCCGATCACGGCAGCCGCGGCGTACCTGGGGGTAAGGACAGACAGATGAGGCGAGAGAAAAGGAGACAGAAGGATGAGGAGAGTCACAATGAGTAACATCCAGATTTCCCCCTTAGCTAAGAAATTATAAGAAGTATAGATAGATAGATTGATAGCTAGCTATCGGACAGACGGACAGACGGATAGATAGATAGATAGATAGATAGACAGATAGATAGATAGATAGATAGATAGACAGATAGGTAGACAGATAGATAGATAGATAGATAGATGCAAAGGAGGTGCATTTTTGCTATGTTATGCCCCTAGAAACAAACAAACAAACAAACAAACAAACAAACAAATAAATAAATAAATAAATAAATAAATAAATAGATAAATAAATGAAGGAATGGACGGATGGATGGGAGATGCTTTTTTTTCCATTGGTAGGCCTAAATGAAACATTGTTATTATATCATTACTGAAGACAGGAATAGAATAGAATAGAATAGAACAGAACAAGGGAGGTACATTTCTATATTATATTGAAGACAAGTAAATAAATTAATAAAATACAACGAAACAAAACATAACAAATAAAATAAAATAAAATAAAATAAATGGATGGATGGATGGGATATGCATTTGTTTCTATTGGTAGGCCAAAATGGGACATTGTTGTTATATTATTATGTAAGACAAGGAGGTAAATAAACAAAACTAATTAAATAAAATCAACACATGAATGAATGAATGAATGCATAAATGAATGAATAATATTTAAAAGCAACTATAGAAGGCAAGATTATCAGTTAATTTAAAAATAAATTAAAAGTATACATTGGCGGTACATTATAAATCAGAGTGCATTACTGCTATAAAAGTGTTCTCTATGGAGAATTAAACTGGTCTAGAGTTCAGACAACACTACAAAATGTCTCAGTTCACAGTCATGCAGTAAATCTGTTTGCAGTCGGCAGTCTCACACCACCATTACTTTTTGTGAACCAATAACTTGACTCTGAAGTCCTGTTAAAATGAGAAAACAAGACCTCTACCATTTTTGGCCCTCCGGAAAATATCCAATATCAAAGTTACACTCCTTCGCCCACAGAATGTCCTTTAACACTGCACAAAAGTTTTCTTTCAAATGCAGCCTTTCTGGCTGCACAGGCAATCTTTATTTTTTGAATCGTAGCATTTTATTGCACCAGGCCTTTACTGAGAGACCTGTAAGTCTCAGACTGGAGTTGTGTATTGATGAATGCTATGAGTAAATCACGGTAATAAGGTTTTATATGTGATGCATATAGCCTCACACCTGGTTGAACAACCAGAAGAAATCGCATAAGTTTAGATATGTGTGAGTCATGTTCCTGCTTTATACCCAACAGCACCCTCAGATCCCCCCCTCAGCAATGCCTAATGAGTGGAGCTAAGGTGATCGTATGCAGAAGACATGTCACACTTCCTCTCCTCACCTGTCACAACTCAAAGCAGGGCTAGGTGTGTGAATACATCTTTGCGAGAGAGGAAGTGTTTGCGAGAGTATGAACATGCTTGAGGAGGTATGAATCTCATTTGTGATTTTTTCACCTCAAATGAAATATTGACTGGAATAGTGAGCAGGTTTGAGGGATACTGCGTGTTTATGTGAAGAAAACAGACATCTAAACTATAAACTTGGACTATTTACTCACCCTCACATCGTTTCAAACCTGTATGATTATATTTCCTCTGTGGAACATGAAAGGAGTTTTGAAAAATATCTTAGACACGCTTTGGAAAGTGAAAGTAAATGAAGACCAGAGCTGCTACAAAATGACTAAAAAGAATCATAAAAGTAGTTCATATGACTTGTCTGATTATACTCCAAGTCCTCTAAAGTTATATAATATATGTGTGACAAGCAGGCCAAAATGTAAGTCGCTAATGACTGAAAATCAGTTCTAACTCTTCTTGGTGAGTTCATGAGGCAAGTAACTGTGTCTGATTTATGAATGAATCGTCCTTTTGAGTGTGATCCGTTTATATGAATCAGTTGAATCAGTCCAAATGATCTATTCATGAATCAGACTGATCCAGTTCTTGAGTTCAATTCACTCAAAGATCTGAGAAAGTGTGTGCAAGAGTATCACCATGTATGCTTGAACAGGTATGAAACTTGTTTGTGATATTTCACCTCAAATGAAATATTGACAGGAGTAGTGTGCAGGTTTGTTGGATTAATGTGAAGAAAATAGCTGGCTACAATTTAAACTTTTATTATTTACTGACCCTCATGTCTTTTCAAGGCAGTAGACACTCTTTTAAAAATGAAAGTAAATAAGGGCCAGAGATGCTCCAGAATGATAAAAAAAGAATCATAAAAGTGGTTCATATGATATGACTTGTTTATCTGTCTGCGATTTAAAATTTTCCTTTCTCTTTGGAGTGTTACAAGCTCTTGGTATATTTGAAGGAGTTATGGTTGATGAGGATTTTTCTTGCTGTAGATGATATCAGGGCTCTCTGGATTTACAGATTTTGCTTAAACATACCTGTTTGTGTGTCTGAAGGAGGAAGTATGTTTCCGATAAGACTATTTTCCTTTAATTACAGCTGCTGAATAACATTATCGAAGTCCACACTCACAAGCCTGTTGAATGAGAGAAACGTTAATTAAAATGTTAATTCAAAGCAAGTTTCAGGTAACACAGCACCCATTTTGGCAACACCCCCACAGCTTTTTTCAATAAAAAGGATAAAATCACTGCTCTTGAATGGTAAAAGACTGAAATCTTCACAACTTCTTGTCAACTTATGCCTCAATAATACTTTAAAAACAGCAGCAGATTTAGCTTTGATTATGCTAAAAAGATTATGCTAGAAATTTCAGATTAAACTGAATATCTGACTGCTTGAATGCTTAACTGACATGGGAATTATTTGATGAGAATTAAAAAAATACAGCATTTATTAACATCATTGATTTTATAGTATGTTTTGACTAATTTAACATCCTAGGAAAATAAAAGTGTCTATGGTGGTTACAGCTTTTACCAGATCATGTTGAACAGACGTCATCATTTTCTTTTATAAAGAAACAATTATTTTAAATTGTAATAATATTTCACAATATACGATCACAATATAGGATCAATCACAATATATGATTAAATAAATGCAGCTTTCATTAGACTTCTTTCAAAAACATTAAAAAAAAAATCTAAAAGGCAATTTTAACTGTTTCAATTCTTCCATTAATTTTAAACATGCCAGTGAAAAGGAATCATAGAGTGAAGTCTACCAAAGGCATTTCAAATATCAATAATGGAAGAGTGGAATGAATGCAAGTGTAGGATGTAGAGAAAACAGGAAACTGAGAAGTGAGAGAGCGTGGTTGGCTTGAGTGAACACCAATTGAAGAATGATGTATTGGGTGACAATATTTTATTGATCATATTCTGTGCATGCCCATACAGCAACCGTCACTCCAGCTACGTGTCTGCGGATGGGGAATAATGACTCATGAAGAGAGAATAGATGAGTGAGAGAGAGAAAAAAAACAAGGTAAATGACAAGAGATGTGCCACACTCCCTCTCTTTCCCTCTGTCCCACCCCAGGGCTAATGATAGTGTAGACTGGAGAGACGCTGATTCACAAGAGGTTCTATTAACACCTCTGCCTGAAGCTGAGCGAAGTGCATACAGCAAGACTTTTCCAGTGCCCAAGGGAGAGATAAAAAAAAAAAAAATGAGACTATGGTGGGATGCTCCCTGTAGAGACACAACAAGTCTGTACTTAAAAAGCAAATACAGATAGATTTGCATGAATACAATCCACCTCATAAAAGCTCTAGAGACACGTCAGAGTCTTCTTTAAATCCCTGTGTGATAGTGTGCAGATGAAAACTATACACAAGTGTGACTTGGGACTTGGTTATAAATCTGTTTACTTGAAAGGCTTAATGGAACAAGCTGGTTGCAGACGTGACATTTCAATTTGTGTTCATGTAGCTCAATTGGAGTACGACACTAGCAGTGTCCTGGCAATGTATTAGATTCCCAAAGAACAAACGAACTGAACATCGAAAGTTTGATGTTCAAAATGAATGAGGAGCAGGACTATGAGTTTGAAGTGGGTGGGGCTACCAGGTGATTGACATAATGACGTCACATTTGTTGATATGGCCCGTGAGACTCCTTGCATTCAATCACAGATCTTAGATTTTCTTCTTAGTACACTTTCACCACTTGCTAAAATCACAAAAAAAAAAAAACATGCCATGCTGTGACTACACAGTGCATATTTAACCATTGTTCCAAGCTTTTGCAGTCTCATGGAGGTGGTTAATAATGGCCCTAGGAAAAACCTCTCAAGGGCAGTACTGAGATCCACAGGGGTTAGTCTCACCTCTGGGTTTCAGAGTCGTGGCAGGACCCTCTCATTCACTGGTGCCAATTACCAAGGCCAGTCTCACGCTTGCCTGAGGGCGACCTTCTCACACCGTGCTGAGCTTTGGCTCCTGTTCCTCTTGTGGCTGTGAATCCAAACACAAGACGTCATGGAAGTGAGAAAGCTTGTTAGGTTTTACTTTTGATGTTCCATAACTCTGATATTGCAGAATATAACAGAGGAATAAAACAGTGACATGCCGTCAGATGCCGTAACATCAAAATGACAGACGACAGTTGTCATGGCTTCCAGAATAGGACACTGAACATGAGAAAAATCTAACTCTTTTGATTGCAAGTCTGTCAAGATGACGTCCTTGGAAGGTTCACCAGTAATAGACAGATTGGATAAATAAGGTAAGAAAAAGACAACAAATATGTAACTTGAGAAAGGCTGGGAATCGTAAAGAAAGATTCCAGTTCCTCAATAGTTCAATAGTTTACTCAATTCTCTTAGTACTTGTAAAATCATAATTTATAAATATTTGGGAAAAAAGAAATACAATTTCAGTTCCCCAGTCACGTCTGGCTGCCGAGGGGACGGAGGAGCTCAACAGGGTCTACTATATGGACTCTCTGGAGTGGGTTTTGCAAGCCGACCCGAAGCCGGGGCCTCTCAGTGCTTCTACCCGTTTGAGGTGAGAACACAGGAGGATACCGGCTCCACACGAAGGCTATAGAATCTAGCGAACGTGTTAGGGGTCGCCCAGCCCGCAGCTCTACAGATATCTGCCAGCGAGGCGCCACGAGCCTCCGACGTGACGTCGAGAGTGACCGACTGAAAGGGAACTGTGTGTGCTGTATGTTTTTGATTCATTAAATAGAACCATCAAAATGGCTCATCAGAGTCATTTGTTCAGGAACTAAGGTAGGATAAAATAGCCATATAGGATTCAACAAGCAAAGTAAATTTGGGTAAAAATGACTTACAAAGACAACAGAGAGAAGCACAGACTCTTGCACCAATTGATAAAAATGATATGTTATTTTAGATCAATGCAGTCATGCACCTATCCAAATCCCAGTCCCTAAGCACTATATTTGTGCATATTGGATTTCTGAAAATGATTTGATCAATCATGCCCATTGTCTATTGCGTATTCAAGCATACCACACTCATGGTGGACTAAACTACATCCAAGCCCAGTTATCCGGTCATTTCGAATGGGTAGCAGGTTACACACTGAAGCACCACAAATTACTTGCCATCACCGAGCTGAAAAGCCATCAACCATACTGAATAATCCTACCTCCCCCTGAGTGTCCCCCATCTCGCTGCAGATATTGATCTCTGGCTGGGGCCCAAAGCAGGGCAGATTTACTGTCAGATTTCCAGCTTCATCTCTGCGAACACGCTGAGTTTTAAATTTGAATTGTGTGCCTGAGGTTATTTCCCACCTGGACAAGAGTGTAGTCATTCCGGTTGCCCTTGGTGCAATGGCACGCTGTTTATTTCATCCGAACGTTCTGGCCAAATTACAGCATGGCTCCCCAAAAGCTTTAAATTTGGCTGATCTCTGAGTCGGGAGTTAACATTAGAGTGGCTGTCGGAGGCTTTTATGAGCATGTACTGACAATAGACCAACTGGGTCGTCCGTTTGCACCCTAATGGGTTCGCTTTAAGTCATCCCTAACATTTGCGAGTAGGCCAGCTTATAAATTCCCATAGGGAACACATTTGCAGTCAGGTTTGAATTACAATGACATTCAGGCTATTTAAAAGTTACAGCTTGTGAAAAGTTACATGCATTGTTGTTCGTTTCTATTAATGCAGTTGTTGCCAGTCTGTCTATCAAGTAAATATACAGCACAGAGTTGTACTGGCAGAATTCCCCATTTGCCAAGTGAAAATTAACAGCTTCTATTTATTGTAAATTCAATCTATAATCTGTTGAGACTGTAGAAACTATTGTCACCAACATAAATATTGATACAATCATCACTCATGCCACAGTACTTACAGTTTTCAGTGTACTTTAGCAATAAAGCGATAATATATTCCAGCAGTCATATTAACAGTTGCTTCAGGACTGTAAGGAGCTTCTGGGTTTCCTTGTGGCACTCTACAGTGCGTTTCATGTTTAAAACACCAGCAGGCCTGGCCCGCATCCATCTCAATGTGGTGTCAGTGTTCATTAAACTGTGACCAGCAGAGTAAGACACCTGGACTGATTCATACTGAGGGTGTCTGTGTGTTGAATGTGCACATCATGTGCATGTCTATCTATGAATGTGTGTTTGATTGTATGGATGTGCACCATGTATCAGTGCATTTGCTACCAGAATGGACTGGCGACCAACCAGAACCCTAGTGTTTGTATGACAACTCCATATATTACACCCAGACAGGAGGTACATGTTACTGGAGCACGATGGGTTGGGAACCGAGGATTAGCTTTTATTCTAAACCATCTCCAGAACCAAACTATTTTTATGACTATCCATTCCAATAACGGTTCTCATACATGCATCATTCTACTAATGCAGAGGGAACAACCTACTAACTACAATCTAATAGAATAGTCCCTTCCCTTCCATCATGTAAGGAAATCTACGTCAGTGCATGTTTTCTTTTTTTTTGGTTAATTTAAGTGCATCAGCTGGTTATTTGAAGTGCACTTTCTTCTTTTTGAAATTCTCATACTATTTATACTGCAAAATGGAACAGAATTGGGATGCAACTAGAGATTCATTTACTAGGCTCTTCTGAGCCTCCACTGGTGCCTCAGTATAGCTGGATTCCCAAAAAAGATGGTTCTTTTTGATGAATCAGCAACATTCACATGATCAGTTAAGTTTCTAAACAGGTTACTTTAAGGAACCACTGTGAACGTGCAGTGTCACCAGTGTACTTTAATTGTTTCCTAAATGAATGACTCTTATCAATCAATTCTTTTTAGTGATTCAAAAACACACAGCACAACCAGTGGAGTTGAATGACTCTTCTGGTTATTTTTAGTGATTCAAAAACATGCACTGTGATCAGTTGAGTTCAATTCCCAAATGAATGACTCTTATGAGTTTAAAAAATATATATATTTAAAATCACACAGTACGACCAGTGTAGACTGATTTTCGAATGAATTACCTTTTTGGAGGTAGTTCGATTTATAAAAATACTCATGGATAACTCTGAGCAGTTGCTGAATTAATCTGACTCAATATGTAATTTCCAATGTACGTACTTAAGGTTCATGCAGTGATAAACTAAAAATCTTTATTTTTTTTTGTCTAAAATTTTTATAGAGCTATGACCAGTTATTGGATATTATGCAAAAGAAAAAAAATCTGCATAATTAAAAAAAAAAAAGTATTACATTTACTCTGGTTTGTTGTGTCTGATGAAGTCTGAAATTACCTCATAGCAACAGACCTGGGAGTGCAATAAATATAAAAGAGCTGCTTATTTACAAATATTATAAACAAATTCATAATGGAATTATGAGCTAAATGTATTAAATTCTTTATGATTTCTATCTCTATACTGCACAATAATGTTTCCTTATGTGTGAATCACAACAGAAGCTTTTCTGGTGGCACACAGGTGGCACACAGTTAAGTAGAGACCTAAGTGACAAAGCAGCTGGGCTTCCTACATTAATTAGCGTTTAGAGGCTCATACGTGACAGGTCAAGAGGAAAAGACTGTCCCCGGCTTACAAAAATAGAGACAAAAAGTACACGGTGTTTTAACAAGTGGTTTAACAACAGCTTAAGAGGGCTGAGGGAGTCATACCGGCCCTGTTTAAGAGCCAAGAGAAACTGCTCTATCACAACATACCATTAAGCCACATTCCTGGGCCAAAAAAGTGTCGGAAACCAATAATGGAAGTTCTTCAAATACAAGGAATCCGTGCTAAGAAACAAATGAACAAGGCCTGAGCCTGGAGTGGATTAAAACACTGGCAGCCATAATTGTTTAGTGCAATCTTACTTAATAGAAAAAAGGCAAAATTAGAGCACTGAAGGAATTGATGAGGCAGAACCCGTAAAGAGCAGCACCTCTCATTGGGGTGTGTGGGCCGGGTGATTATTGCTCCTGTGTTCCACAGTAAATACAGCAATGCATCATAATGCAGGTGTAACAAAAGGCTCAAAGCGGGGATGCAGAACCCAATTTGCAGCTCTTTATTACAAAATAAGGGTGAAACACAAAGATAACAAAAGAGTCAGCAACAAAGCAAGCAAAGGTATTATAAAGAGACTTACCAACACAGCAGTCGAGGTTCCCACTTTCCATGACTTTCTCAGCTGTACAAGACCACCGGAAATAATTAAAAAAATCATTCTATGAAGAGAAATAATTTTCACAGAGAAAAACATTTTTATAGACATCTAACATATTTCAACAGCTAGAAGGAGCACTTTATAGCTGGTAAAATATTTAAGAGCTAAGTCTAGTTATAAAAACAACAAATTCTCTATAGACTCTATATGACTCTCAAAGATTTCATCGATTTCCAGGCCTGAAAATCACAACATAAAATTGAAAAAGTCCAGGTTTCCATTCATATGACACATTCTATGGAAATCGTCAATCTTTTGGCTGCTTTCACTTCAGTTCAAAGTATTTTGTCAAACACTGGTAATGTTCTGATATTTTCATGTGTGTGAATGATGCAGGGGATACAGGACTTGCAAAATTTCAAAATCGCTGGTAGCCCTTCGGGCAGACATTCTTCAGAATTTGGTAGCCCAAAATCAATTTTAAAGGGGTCATATGATGCGATTTCATTTTTTCCTTTCTCTTTGGTCATTATGCTGATGAGCAAAAAAATAGGGTTCTTTATTATTTAAATAACAGAATACTTATTTGATACCACAGCAAAAACTAGTAGCATATAGGGATGTAACGA